AACCCACTTCTTCGGATGCATCCGAAGAAGTGGGTTGTAGCCCACGAAAGCTTATGCTCTAATAAATTTGTTAGTCTCTAAGGTGCCACAAGTACTCCTGTTCTTTTTCCTAACCAAGCATTTCCAAAGGCACCCCAGCATGGAAACCCATTAGAAGCCCATAAAGGACAGTCATCATGATGTCCTGAGGAATGAGACACTGGGCGAGTGACAGCTCTTGGAAGTAAAATGCCCATGAGACTGAAGGGAAATTGCTTCTGTATTCCCTTTGCTTTGGTGCATTGTTTGTAACCCTTTGAGTCATAGATTCCTAGATTCCAAGACCACCAGGGACCATTGTGATCATCTAGTCTAACCTCCCGTGTAACACAGGCCAGAGAACTGTCCCACAATAATTCCTAAAGCAACATCCAATCTTGATATAAAAATTGGGAGTGACAGAGAATCCACCCCAACTTTTGGCAAGCTGTTCTGATGGTTAATTAAAAAATTACACCTTATTTCCAGTGTGAATATATCTACCCTCAACTTCCCACCATTGGATTGTGTTAGACATTTCTCTGTTAGACAGAAGAGCCCATTATTAAATATCTGTTCCCCATGTAGGTATTTATAGACTGTGATCAAATCACCCCTTTGTGACGTTATTGACATGAACTGTGACTGTATAGATCATTGTTGCAACCAGGGTCCTATGGTTGCACCAGGTCTTGTACAGAGGAGGTCAAGTGGGGTGTCTGTGGAAAGGTTGTAGTTTGCTGGTTATGATTATGTGGTCTGTTTGTATCATTTTTGTATTTGAAGTTATGAATATTGGGTATGTACTTGTATCTCAATGTGTCTGATTCTAAGTAGCCTCAGTGAAGCATTTGGTCAGCTTCTTGAGAAAGAACTATTCTCAGTAAGTGCCCAATCAAGAAACATTTAACTGACAATGGACTTTGGGAGATGCCAATCCACATCTGAGCTTTCCTGGGAACGTTCAAACTAACATGTAAACAATGGCATCGGCCTGCAAAAAGTTGAATCATTCAATGACATGTGACTTGCCCAGGTGGCTACAAACTCCATCTTGTGGCTGTGATTTTGCACAGGAGAATGAAGGGGTTTCCGCCCACAAGAGAAAGAATATAAAAGGCTCTGGAAACCCCTTCATTTTGGTCTTTAGCTGGCTTGAGATGGCCTTTCCACCCCAAAGAGATGCCTGAAAGAAACTGGAACAAAGGACAGTAACTACAGGGGTGTGAGTGATTGCTGGACCCAGACTAGGAAGGAGTCCAGTCTGTCAAAGAAGCTTATTGGAACATCTCTGAGGGTGAGATTTCATCTGTAATCAGTTTCTTAATGTATTAGACTTAGACTTGCAAGTTTTGTTTTATTTTGCTTGGTAAATTAGTTTGTTCTGTCAGTTATTACTTGGAACCACTTAAATCCTACTTCTTATACTTAATAAAATCACTTTTGTTTATTATTGAACCCAGAGTAAGTAATTAGTACCTGGGGGAGCAAACAGCTGTGCATATCTCTCTATCAGTGTTATAGAGGGCGGACAATTTATGAGTTTACCCTGTATAAGCTTTATACAGAGTAAAACAGATTTATTTGGGGTTTGGATCCCATTGGGAGTTGGGAGTCTGGGTGCTACAGACATGAGCACTCTTTAAGCTGTTTTCAGTTAAGTCTGCAGCTTTGGGGCACGTGGTGCAGATCCTGGGTCTGTGTTGGAGCAGACTGGTGTGTCTGGCTCGACAAGGCAGGGTTCTGGAGGCCCAAACTGGCAGAGAAAACGGGCTCGGAGGTAGTCTCAGCACACCAGGTGACAGTCCCAAGGGAGTTAAAGCCAAGTAGATTGTGCTCCTTGAATCTATCACTATAAGGCATGTTTTCTAATCCTTGATTCCAACACCATCATTTTCTAGTGAGCTCTCATTCCTCCCTGTCCTTATCAGACTTGCTATTGCCAACTCTTGTGATTTGACATGGGTCTCACAGTAGCAAGATTTTTTTCTTTTATTTCCAGTGCCAGGAGTCAAGTGGTTACCTGAGACTCAGCTTTCATTTTAAAAAATAGTAAATTGCTAGCCCTTGTGATGGCAGAGAAAAGCTGGAAAATGTGGCACATAAAGCTCCAAAATCCAGGAGGCAAATAAAAAGAACCCAGCACTGATTAGTGTGAAAATCTCATGACTGCTAAGTCAATTTCATGACTGGGGGGCGGGGGGCTGACTACTGGTTTTGGAATGTTTGGGGCTATGTTTACTGCAGGCTTGTTTGTGTCGGTTTGACAGACATTTAAACAACATGGATAGCAAAGGGATCGGAGGCTGTGTCAGTCTAGTTACTGTCCTAGCCCCTATCTTCTCCATCACACATCCCTTAACCCATCTTTGTTTGCACTGTGGTGTCTAATTCAGACTGTAAGCCCACAGAGGCAGGGACCTTTTGTGTTTGGCTATATGGGGCCATGGAGCCCATGATGCTATGGAAATAAAGCGTAAGAACAGTATCAATACCGGGAAATGTTGGTGTCTTCGTTCGAAGGGCTTGAGAACATGCGAGCAGGAGAACATCACATGCATCTGAGGATACCGCAGTCTCAAGGTGGAGGAAGTGCTTAGAGCATTGAGCTGTCCTCGACTGTAATTGGTGGGATGCTTGGGTTCCCTATGCTGTGATTAGTGGGACACTAGGGTGACCTTAGCAGTGACTGGTGAGAAGTTTGGGACCCCTTTATTGTGTTTGGTGAAATGTTAGGGTGCCCTTTGTTATGGGTGGCATCGAGATGGACTCCAAATGCTTTCTAACAAGCCTGAGAGTCTGTTACATTGCTCCCATGCTGAGAAGCCCCTGTCCATAAACGAATACAGAGTAACCATCGAGTCACCCTGCCATGAGGGGTTCCTAGGTGACTTTCTTGTCATGCTGCTGAAATCCTCAGAGCCTGGTGTACCCTGACCAGCAAGTGGTTGCTCCCACCCCTGGAAAGCTGGGAATTCCCCCTAGTGTTCCCTGTTGGTCTTGCCAAAAACATCAGGGGTTAGCCCTGGCTTTTGTAACCCCTGTGGCCTAGCTGCATGAAGGATCCCCCGGCAGAGTGAGGATGGGCAAGCTGAGGGTAGGACCCCTCATGATTAACCCCCACCAGGGCTTCCCCCTATTCCCAGTCTGTCTCCTCGCCCAGGAGGCAGGTGCCCCAATGTCTGGGGACCAGGGGGTGTCCAGGTTTGCAGTTCCATCACACTTCACTTCCTGGGTTTAGCTTAGGGTGACCAGACATCCTGATATTGGGGGCTTTGTCTTATATACACAACTACTACAGACCCCTCCCCAAAAAGATGTCCTAATTTTTCACACTTGCGATCTGGTGTCCCTCGTTTACCTCCATCACTAGACCCGTTCCCTGCTGCAGAGGCTGCCCAGCGGTGCGGCTGCAGGAAGGGGTGAGGCAGGTCTCATTTCCCCACCCCGGGCCCCTCCCGGCCCCCAGCTCCCTAGGTCAGGGCTGGGATTCTGCTTTGAGGCCTTGCCCCGAGCCTGGGCACACAGGGAGTCCCTGGCCAGTGTGGATCGGGGTGCCCTGGGACAGCCACATCCCGCGCTGCGCTTCCCCCCACGGCGGCTCGTGGAGACACGGTCTGAGCGAGCGCACGGGCCAGCTTCCCCCTGCCCTGGAGAACTTCATCCCCACCCAAAACTACATCCCCCAGCATCCCTTTCGCCAACGGCGCCCCTGGTTCCGACCAGCCCGGTGCATGCTGGGACTTGTCGTTCTTCTCCCCCTTGCGTTCCGTGGCAGTGACCGGCCTCGAGACTCAAATTCCCGGGGTGCACCAGGCGGGCCCCGAGGGCGTTGCGCAGGCGTAGTGCCGTGTTGTCCGCGTCGCCTCTCGGCGGGGTAGTGAGTGAGGCACCGAGTGGCCGCGGCGCGGCCCGGGGGGAGCAGTCAGCGGCGTGGGGTGCCGAGCGGGGCCGCAGCCGGACGCGGGAGGTGGGGTCGGGCTGAGTGGTCGGGAAGGGCCGAGGTTGAGTGAGGCCCGCGGGGCCGGGCCTGGGGCAGGCCCCTGAGGTGAAGGGGGGCGTGAGTGGCAGGCTCAGGGACACGCCCCTAGGCTCGGGACCTGGGGCCCCCGCGTGCGCACACGGCCAAGGGGAGCCGGGCTCTGCCCCGCCCGCTGGGGTAACGGAGCGGGCGGTGGGGTAACGGGTGCAGGGGTCCCGGGCTGGGACGGACGAGCGAGGGTGGGGTAACGGGGTGCAGGGGGCACAGGGTGTGGCAGAGGCACTCCAGTGGGGCCTGGGGCTCTGGAGTATCTGAGCATTTTGGGTAACAGGGCCAAGGGGATCTGGGCTCGTCCCTTTTGGATTCTGCGGCAGGCAGGGTAACAGTCCCCTGCTGTGCTGTCTGGGGGGAGTCTGATCAGCAGGGCGGAGAGGCTCTGTCGTCCCCCCTCTCAGTGCCTGTGGTGGCCGGTGTCAGGACTGAAGTCTGCTCTATCCATACTGAGGAAGAGGTGGAGAGGGGGCTGCTGGATGCATGACTCCCCCAAAAGTATCAAATCAAGGCCCCTGACTGGTTTAGTGAAGGTGTGTGTGGGCAGAGATTCAACATGAACCGGTACCTCCCAGTAGCCCGGCAGCATTTTCTGGCTGTGCTGGCCAGCACCAGTGTGGTGGTGAAGTCCATCTGTGCCACTGTCATCCTGCTCTACCTTCTATCCTTTGCTGTGGACACGGTGTTCGGGCTTGGCGTGACTCCTGGTTACCTCTTTCCACCCAACTTTTGGATCTGGACGTTGGCCACACACAGTGTGGTGGAGAAGCATGTCTGGGACGTTGGCGTGAGCCTGGCCACAGTAGTGCTGGCTGGCAGGCTGCTGGAGCCCCTGTGGGGAGCACTGGAGCTCCTGATCTTCTTTGCAGTGGTGAATATCTCAGTTGGGCTTCTGGGAGCCTTTGCCTACTTTCTCACCTATGTGGGGTCATTCAATCTCTTGTACCTGTTTACCGTTCGCATTCACGGCATGCTGGGCTTCCTCGGTGGGGTCTTGGTGGCCCTCAAGCAGACCATGGGCGACAGCACTGTCCTGAAGGTGCCCCAGGTGCGGATGAAAGTGGTCCCTATGCTCTTACTCCTTATCCTGGCTGTTCTGAGGCTGACCACCCTAATTGAAAGCAACCTATTGGCCTCTTATGGCTTTGGGGTCCTCTCCAGCTGGATCTATCTTCGTTTCTACCAGCGGCACAGTAGGGGACGTGGAGACATGTCAGACCACTTTGCCTTTGCCACGTTCTTCCCCGAGATCCTGCAGCCCGTGATTGGTTTGGTGGCCAACTTGGTGCATGGCATCTTGGTGAAGGTAAAAGTTTGCCGGAAAACAGTGAAGCGTTACGATGTGGGTGCTCCTTCGTCCATCACCATCAGCCTGCCTGGAACAGACCCGCAGGATGCTGAGAGGAGAAGGTATTGTATGTTCCCTTGAAATATATTGTGTGGTTAGAGATCATGAGTTCATGCAGTATACCCAGTGCTAGATACCTACTAAAGGTGAATTGAGATGAGTTTTAATAAGACCACAAAACTGCTTGGTTTCAAATTATTGTGTCTGGGTTTAAATGTTATAAGGATTATTTTTAAAAAGGGAATATTTGAAAATCTGCCCCTGCTTTACTTGCCTCTCACAATCTGAATTCAGGGCTCTGTGTTTACCCCCTGCATCTGACATAGGGGAGCCATCAACTATTATCTGCACTAGAATTTTTTCCCTGGTGACAGCAGCAGTGGAGGCCCTGGTGTGGGACAGCTGCATTTTAGGGCCTATGTCATCGGGTTCTACTGAGAGCAGATCTACCCCAGACACTGTTAAAAACACTCATGCCTTGTGCACAGTAGCACTCCAATCATTGCTATTGCTAGTGAAACTTCAGCGATGATAATCACAAGAAGTTCTGAGCGGGATCCTTGTACAGACAAGGTCTCTTAAGGGGAATGAAACGCTGAGGTCAGCAGGTGGCAGTCCTTTTAGTTCACCTCTTACTACCTATTCTCCTTCCCCCCCCCCCCCCAAAAAAAAAAAAAAAGAATTTCCAGTGCAGAGAAAAATAAAACTACCAAGGAAAGGGACTTTCCGTGCATCAAACCAGAACATTCCATCAGCAGTGGAGCCCACTTCAGAAGTGGGAGCCGTCTCATCATTCCCATTTAAGAATTCAAGGGAAGCTGTTGAACCTTCCTTTTTTAAAAATATTATCTTTGTTCCTAATACGTGGCTTAGATCCTTGCCATATTAATAATCTAGTCCCTGTGCACATGCTTAACTTTAAGTGCAAGAGTATTCCTGTTGAAATCAGTGGGCCGAAGGTTCATGAGTCTCCATGTGACTGGGGCCTTAATTTGCTCTTTGCCAGTCATGCTAGCTTACTCTTCCTCCGTTTTCCAGTATGGGGAAGAAAATGAGCTGAGTCAGTTTCACCGTTTCTAGTCACTTTCACTTCCTTGATCTGTTGAATCCAGGCAGCTGGTTGGGTTTGAACTCAATGGCAAAATATTTAAAAAGAAAAATTGCAAACACTGTTGTAAATTTGATTTCATGAACCATTTTATTCATAGTCAGATTTTGCACACATTCCCTTTAACTTCAGTTGACTGTACCTCCTGTGCAATCTGATCATGTGTTTCATGAGTTTCGAAAGCAAGTGAGGCAAGAAACCTTCGCATTGTATTGTCTTCAGTGTAAACATTTCCCTGTATTTAGTCCTGTTTGGGGGAGATAGGGCTTGGAATAATGGTAACTGATTCAAGCTTCTGCTAGAGCTAGCCAGGTGGCAGTAACCTGAGCAGCTGCCACATCTGCACGGCTGCCCAGTTAGTAATTTCCCATAGGCCGTTCAGGAAAGATTGGCTTAAATAAGTCTCAAGCCCCAGCTTGGAGCATTCAGAGTGAAATGGAGCTAAGAACCTGCTGAAAAAAGTTGCCAGCTAATCATGTTCTTGTTAATGATGGCTCAATGTAATGGGCATTTCTGGGCCTGGCTTCTGCTAGGTGCCTTCTGCCGAACTTAGTTGAGAACATTTGGCTCTCTGCCAGATCAGGCCCTCTAGGTAGCTGCCCAGTTTCAGGTGCATTCCACCTGGCATTCAACTGGATGGCCATTCCTTAAAGCAGAAGTCATCATGTATTGCTTCGTGCAGTGGAACAGACTTTTGTTATATCAGTTGAGGAGAAAAGGGAGCTGGCGAAGGGTTAAATCCCTGCCCAAATGCATGGTTTCTTGGTTGCAAATGGGCTGTTGGGATTGAGGACAAAAGTGCAGTGGAGAGAGAACCCCTCTGTCCCTCCACTGGCAGGTTAAGTAGGAATGTTCATAGGTAGCCCCTGTCAGAAGGTGGCATCACGGGCCGGGAGGGATTAAAGTGGAGGAATCCTGCTAGGAGTACTGGAGATGTGGAGAATCCTGCTAGAGGGAAGGGAAGGCGCTGAAATGAGATTGCATGTCTGGGGGAGAATGTGGTTAGTGTGGGAAAGCAAATAACTAGAGTACAACATGCACTGACAGTTCAGGGGGTTGCTATGTGCCCTCTTCTATGAATCCCCACATTGCACTCCCTGTTTCCACAACAGCTGCCAATGCCAGGTATCCAGAGCACTATAGGATGCACTGTAGTCAAGGTGTATTCTGGGTAGGTTGATGCTTTGTTTCGCCTAGATTTGGAGGACTGAGGGAGGAGCCCCTGCTAGGAAGCTTGGAGGGGAAAAGGAGGGTTTGGCTTCAGTGCAGTTGCCGAACTTATAATAAAAACCATCTGTATGTATTTGCTGATGCCCTAGATCTGAGCTTTCTTCAGGGTTGGAAATCCAGCCCTTCTGCTGTGGAAGAAAGCTCTTCCCAGCTTCATATCACCTTCCTAGCTGCCTGCAATGTTGGCCTGGATTGGGCTTCTGAAATGTCCTGCTAGCCAGATCTTCTTTTCCTCCTCCTCAGAGCTGGCTGTCAAGCCAGCTTCTTGTAGCCCATCCAGAAGTGCTGATGCTATTGCCTCACAATAACTGCTGGCTGAGTTTTAAATGAAAGCTTCGCTTTTCAGGGTAGAGGGTTGATCGTGCTCATGTGATGAGGTACAGATAAGGGTACACCTGCTCTCTGGCCTTTTAGAATTGTTAACTCTGGAGCAGGTGCAGACCATGTGGATGCTGCAGCCTCCTCCCCCTGTGGCTTGTTCTGAGCTCCACACTGAGTGTTTTACCCAGAGGGGCAGTTTCCTTGATGTGGGTGTTTTTTCTCAGGAGTCTCCCTCCCTGGTGACACATCATTTGCTTAAACAAGAAGAGGCGCATATGCCTTGTGGGAGGAGAGAGTGCATGTGACCAGCCCTTCTGTTAGGGTGAGCCATTGGGAGCCCTAAGTGTCTGCGCAGTAGTTGTATCTGAAATCCTTCAGTCCCTTCCTGGACCCACCCAGGTTGACTCCCACAGAGCCTAGTTTCAATGTGAAGAACTTGCTTGGCCTTTCTGACTGACATGGGGTGTACAGACAATGGCAGTGAGGACTGCAGATGGCTGGAGGCATGGGCACTATGCAAAGCAGTGAAGAGACTGATGTGAAGAGTCACCCTGCAGAGGCAGCTCTCTGTCCTAAGTCTGTGATGGGTTTAAGCAGACAGGGGAAAAGGGCATGGGGATGGCTTTAAAAACTGGGCAGAATTCTCGGCCAGGCCAGGCCACGGATTTGCAGCTGTGCCAGGTACAAAGCTGCCATTGACATCAGTGGAAGCTGAGTGCCTGTAGTGAGGGTGGAAATAGGCATTCCTGCCCTGCTGGTGTCTTGACACCAATATTCTAGTCACATCAGAGAGCATCTGGGTCTCAGCATGATTCACTAAAGCTTCCTAGGAGTGAATTGATTTGTTCAGAGAGGTGCCAGCTGCAGCCCCTGTGCTCCGCCTCCACCCAAGAGGTCTCCCCTGAGGCTTCTCTGAGCTGCCAGTCTTTTCCCAGGACCTCCTCAGGACCTGCAAGTCAGTCTTGGGGACCAGATCTGTAGCTGCCACTGAGCGGGAGGACCTCCTCACAGAACCACTGCTATGCAACCTGCCATTGCTGTGTGCAGGTGGTGGAGTCCTCTCTCGTGTGCCGGAGGATGGTCCTGGCTGGCACCACCAGAATCAGAGACCTCCTGGACTACGATCAGAGGGACTGGGTGGACCCCGTGGCCAGCGCATGGGGCTGCCAACCCTGTCTGTCCCCTGTCGTGCTCCATGAGGTGAGGGCAGCCTAGCCTCCTGCTTCTCTTACTTTCTTCGAGCGGGTCCTGTGGGAGGGTCCTCCCCACTCACTCCAGCCCTCCAGAACTCATCAGGCCCCTGCCCCATGAGCCTCCTCAGCCGTCCCCGACACACTATCTGAGTGGGCTGAACGACATCCAGCCAGTCGGTCCACCTCTGAACCAGGCCCAGGGAACATCTGTACATGCTCGTGCTTCATACCATCCACTTACTCACCTTGGGTTCCACCCTGACACCAAGTGGCGGGGCCTACTGCCACCTGCTGAGGGTGAGGAACCCCGGTGGGCCAGTCTGTGCTCCACTTTGGTCCCACAGCCCACTGGGGATGTGACCCCTTCACAGTGCTATGAGCACTGGCGTGTACCTGGCATGATTCACAAACTCCACACACACACACCTGTCCCATTTGTGGGGAGAGGGAGACCCTGGCGCACATGTATGTAGAATGTGTCAGGTTGCAGCCCCTCTTCTGGCTCCTCCAAAACCTCTTACTGAGGTTCTGGTTGCACTTTTCCCTTCACCTCCTGATTCTTGCACACCCCATCCATGCCCCCACAAAGTCATGGGACCTGCTCATCAGCTTCCTCCTGGTGCTAGCTAAGATGACCATCCATCATACCAGGAGAAGAAAGCTGGCTGGTGTGGGGGGCGGAGAGGAGGGGTCTCTGCACCCATGGGGCCTATTTCTTGTCCGCTTATATCTCTGGGCAGAGTCCACTGATTCCTGGGATGCCTTTGAGGGGTGGTGGGTGCTATCTGGGGTGCTCTACTCCGTGTCTCTTCTGGTTCCCTGATTTCCAGCCTTTAATCTCAAGCCCATTCCTGTTTTCTCTTTGGTTGTCCCCAGCAATCGATTATAGCCTGGACCTAGTGCTTCCTGTCCTGTAATTGAGGGGGCAGGCCTTTAGTTATGGGTGGGCCTAGATCCACCTGGCCCCTGCTCTGTCTCAGAGAAGGTGGGACAGTTTGCTTTCCACTAAACCAGCTCTGGGAGAGCAATAACAATGGCGCATGTTGCTGGTTCAAGCGCTTCCTCTTCCTCCAGCCAACCCAAGTTCCAAGTGCTCTCTCTCATTCGCTGGCGTCTTTGCGTATGAGCTGAGGAGGAAATTTCAGGTGAGTCCTGTTGAGATGGTGAGGTGAAGTGGGATCTGGAACAGGCGTAGGCCCTTGGTTCATGTTGGTGTTGCACTGAGTCTCATGCAGTTATCACAGACCTGCTAAGTTCCGTCTAGTCCCAGGAACTCAAGTGGAGTTGTTCCCTTTGGATACACACACCAGGGTACGTTTTAAAGCAACTTTAGTGATAGTGAAACCAGCCAGCTTGAGAGCCTAGGAGACTTGACCCACAGAAATGGGGATCTGATGAGCAGCAGTGCAAACTCCCCAGCCCCAATTACCTTGTCAGTATGCCTCAGCCCTGTCTCAGAGGGAACGCACCTCTAGAGATGAGACAATTGTTTCCTCCCCGCCCGTCTATCCAGTGAATAAATTTGGCAGGCTCTTGGACTATGGCTGGGCAGTGAACAGAAATGACTCAGAGCTGGAATGTCTCATTCCTCCGGCTGCATCTTGCACCACACAGCATAATTTCCCAGTAGACTATGAGCGCTCCTATATAATGTGGCATGGCAAATGTGAGTCAATGGCCAGTGCAGATTCAGAGTAGTGACTCTGCAAGGGGCTTGCAGTGAGGGTTGCATTGTAATCCATTACTGACTTGGAAAACAAATGTCCTTGTTTTTATGTAGAATAGATAAAGCACCTTCTTTTGCTCCATATATCTTAACCTCTCTAGTCTGGCTTCCTGTTGCAGTGAGGGTTAAATTACTTCTGAGACATGGGGTGGGACAGGACAGTTCTAAAGATGGGTTTCTCTGTTTAACAGGCCTTTGTCTTGTGTCCTTGTTCCTGCCTTTCCCTCTCTTCTTGCTTCTTTGCTACTGTCTCACCACTCCCTTCTTGTTTTTGTGGGTGGTGTTGGAATTATTAATTTTTGCACACGGTATTACTACGACACTAATTTAACCATAAATTCCTTTATTAAATCCAAAGGCCAAATAGTGTTTATACAATTGCTTTGAACATGCCTAAAAAGCCTAAATAATAAGCAATTTATTACACCCAATATAGTAACAACACATAAGCATTCGATCAAGATACTTACACTCAACGGGCTAAACCCAGGAGTGCTTAGACCCATATTGGTCTGCTGCAACATAGTCATGCAGATGTTAGCAATGAACCCTTTAAGTGTTTACTTTTTCTGCCCTTCAATAAACAAGTGATGTCACTGCCAGTTACTGACCTCAGCTAAAAACCAGTTGGAGACAGTTCACCCTTATTTCCAATCTTAATCCAGATAATATTTACAATCCTCAAGGCCTTTCCTCCCCTCCCTCTTGCTGACTAACAGTTTTTCAATGCACCGGGGCTCACATAAGCTTTAACACTGGTGTGGAGGGTGGGAAGGGCCATGTTGGCTCATTTTAAGACAGATTCTCTTTGTTTTATTTAAAATCATCCGCAGTCACCAGTATGAGTCAGAGGCTGCCTTTTTAGAAACTTCTCCTTATCTCATCAGTTAGTCTTTGAACCAGATGTCCTCCTGACTTCATTCCCTCTGGCCTTATGACTCATTATTTCAAGGTATTCCTTCTACTTGCAAGTCAGGGTCTCTTTACAACACAAATATATTTCGTTAATCAAATTTAAACTAACTCTAATTTGCATTTTTATATTTATCCAGCAGTGGTATCTCCTAAGCTACCTTTACTCCTTCCCCTTCAAAGACCCTTTCTCCCAACTGGGGGCAGCTAGATGGGAGCGTTGCCTGACTTGGCACTTCCCCGCCCCTAGGCAATGATTGCCCTGTGACAGTAGCTCTCCCAGCCTCTTCTGGCCCAAAGAACAAGAAATCCACTGGCCAATGTGTGCTGCACCCTCTGACCTGTCAGTCTCCTCCACCTCCTTTCTTTCTCCCTTCCACTTCAGTCTCTTACCCCCATCTGCCCAACAATGAAGCCTTTGTCCCTCTTACTCTAGTGGTTCCCCAGTGGCAGCAGGAGTAAAACTATCAAGGATGGTGCCAGTTTCACTCCACAGTTGCATTTCCTGCCAGCATGCTTAGGGGGAAGCAGTTTGTGTAGGAACAGCCCAGGGAGATTCTCCCAGGAGAGGATGGACATTGGTTAACACAGGGCAGATTGGGGCACAGGATGCCCCCAGGCCTGCACCAAATGTAATCTGGCATTCTGGCATGCATATATTCCATAAACACTCCCACACTCTTCAGAATTTCCCTTCAGAAGAGTGGGGGCTTGACCTCAGCTGAAGAGCAGACATTAATCCCAGAAAAGGGGGGGATTTATTCAAGGGATAATGTTATCAGCAGAAGAGTAACAGAGGCACTGAACAGTGCTCCTGGGTGATCTAACAGCCAGGCTGAGGCATTCAATAAGCTGCTTCTGTGGTTAGCACCTTGTCTGCTTCTCTGCCAGCACCATATTTCAAATGACATGATACCCACAAGGAAAGGAAGCTGCAGTTTGGTCCTGTTGCCTTCTAGGACTCCAGCAGTGTCTGTTTGGGGGCAGGAGTTAGGTGGAAGGACCAGGAAGGAAGCGATTGACTCTCCAATAAGTCAGATTGTCCAAATACACATCTTAGGAGCCACTTTGAGCTCCCAGTGAGGACCTAGAGGCCCTAATTCAGAGGCCAGTGTTTGAAATCTGTGTCCTTTTGTCTCTGAAGATTTCAGTGTAGTGTGTGGGAGGAAAATGTTCCCTCTTCTGTGTCCAGACTGGCTGAAACCCTTCATTGCCTAAACTGGATCACAGACTCGCTGCCCAGTCCCTATTAGTATTTATTACTACTGCAGTAGTGCCCACAAGTCTCAGTCAGGATCAGGGCCCTGTAGGTGCTATTCAGACACATAGTAAAAGATGGTCTCTGCCCCAGAGATCTTACAATCTCATGGGTCTCCTATCAATGCTGCATTTGGAAGGGATATGCCCTTAAGTGCAAATGACTGTACTTGGGGAGGGCAGCAGGAAGAGGGTCATGGTTCATATGCTGTCCCGACTGAAGCCAAGATCCTGAAAGATTCTTTCCCTTGGGAGACCCTCCCAAGTCCCATTCATCGGTGTTTTCACCAAATGTGGTTCTTGGTGTTGATGGCCTAACCTGGTGGGTTGCTGCCTTTCAGGAGACCCTGATCTATTCAGATCTTAGCAAGGTTATCCAAGACATAGCCACAGGAGGGTCTGTGCTTATTGGTGGCTAGATCTGGGGAGTAACTGCAGGAGCTCTGCATTTCCCTGGCACTTAGGCCTCTGCACTGTGAAATTTCCCTGCAAGGAATGCCCACTAAGGAGGACAGTGTTGGTGCATTCGCTACTGCCCATAACATCTCCCAGGCAAGAGCAGCCAAGTGAAACTGACACAAAAACCCTACTGCCTCTGCTGGAGATAGGGAGTGTGCAGGAAGTGCAGAGACACGTCCTTAACTCTTTGCTGCTGCTGAGGGTGCTCTACCATGGGGAGATGAGCAGAGGGGACTAGACTAAACCATAAAGCCGTCGCAGACTGGGAGAAGCAGCAGCCAGAATAAATGGGAGATACACCTGAGTCGAGAGGGATGGAGAGCTGCATGCAGGTTTGGTGAAGAGAGTTATGAGCCAGCAGGAGGTAGGAGCACCAAGGATGGTAACTGATGTATGGGGAACAGTAGCCACTCAAAAGAGACTGAACAAGAGGAAGTGGGGCAGAAGTGCAGCAAAAGGAGAGTGGGTGGGAATCTGAGCAGGGCTATTGTATTAGAGTTCTTTTGCTCCCACCCTAGTGGTTATTTGGGCTGGACAGATGGTCGATAGAAGCATTGGGAGATGTCCCCCCCCCCCCAAATACCCATGAAGTGCCCAGCACGCTGTAACATGTGCCTTTTCCCTTCTCCCTGGGAGTGCCTGAAGCTGATCCTGCACTAACCCCGCATGTCCGTCCTTGTCCTATAGACAACTCGCCCTGAAGGCGCTGAATGAGCGGTTGAAACGCGTGGAGGACCAGTCAGCATGGCCCAGCATGGAGGACGATGAGGATGAGGGAGGTCCCAAGGCGGACAGCCCGCTGCTCCCTGAGAAGAGCCAAAGCAGCCGGGATGCCAATGCTGCAGGGAAAGGAGCCAGCCAGGAGTCCAGCCTCATCACCTTTGAGGATGCTCCCCCTCAGCTGTGACCTGTGAACATACCGCCTCCCCTGTCAGAGTGATCCCTCCTATCTTCTCACAGTCCTGTCTGCTCCCCAGTAATGCTGTCTGCAGGGAGCAAGGGGACACCTCCAGCAACCTCAAGGGGAGAGGGCTACCTCATTCCAGCATTTAATAGCCACAGTTGGCTGATGCCGTGTTTCTAGACTGTCTCTGGGTGGTAACCGTTAGCCAGTGCTGGCTCCTTGGAAGGGCGCTCTCTCCTGCTGGGGCTCTGGTTCTCATTCGCTTTCTTCAGTGGTGATGTGAGGTTCCTCAAAGACACTAAGCAGGGCTGGGCACCAACCACCAAGGGGGGTGGACTCGTGTGTGTCTCTTCAGCACAGGACATGGACTGGTCTGTCCAGAGAGGCCTTACGCTGGCCGCCTCTGCCAGTAGCCACCACTGGGGCTAACTGACTGTATACGCCTCAGTGGTGGCCATGGCACTGGACTCATCCGGCCTCAGGATTTGCCCTATGCATGGTTGGTCAGGTCCCAATTTTGAAGCCTGTGTGCTAGACCACTAGATGATCCTCACAGCATCCCAGAGGGCAAACTCAGCAAGTGATACAGCACTTTCTCTCTCTTACTTTTGTGGTGGTGGTTGTTAAAAAGTACCCTGCAGCTTCCTTTTTCCCTTTCAAAGTTAGTTTTGTTACTGATCTGAGGAGTGGGAAGTTTTTCTTAATCCCTTTGCTGTATTAACCCTTTCCCCTCTGGCCCCATTATCTGGCAAGAACTGACTACAATAAATTCCTGAGTTGAGAATTTGCCATGATCATTAGATAAGCCTGTTTAGCTACAAAGTAATTGCTTAATACCACCCCCTTGCTGCAGCTGCCTACCTTGAATTATTGACTGGGACCACAGAGCTTTGAGACTAGTCCATGGACATACATCAACCCTAGTCTTTCTGTGGGTGTCCTAGAGGGGTTTAATTTTATTTGTGTTATTGCTACTTTGGTTTTTCTCCAATTTCTTTCGCAGTGATTTAAATTGTAACACAGCCTCTGAACTGGGTGGGACCTGTGCGTTCACTGCTGCTTGGATGAATCATCTGTGCATTGATTCTTTGTCAGATGGCAAATCTGTTTTATAGTGGGGCTCTTGACAATTCTTCCAACACCTGCTTTTCCCCCTCCCTTTGATTAAAATATTGGTTTCCCCTCTCCTTTTCCCCTCCTCTGTGCTGATGGGATTTTTTGGAGAGGGGTTGGGGGGGCTTATCTGGAAAAGCTTTCTTTGAGAACCAGCCCCCCCCCCCAGACCATACCACTCCATCTTGTATACTTCTCTGGGAGGCAGCTACCAAATTGAGGAGTGTGCATGTGTGATTTTTTTTTTTAAAGGGCCACACAAGAAGGTTTTGTCAACCGAGAAATAAACATACGGGAATTTCAGTATCAATAAACAATTATTTCAAAGAATGCCTCTCACTTTAGTTTGTAGATCACCCAAAGCCCAGGTCCTGTTTGGAGGGTCACCTTTCCATTTCATTTTATTTCCCTTATCTGCTCTGATCCCTACATCACCAGTAAGTCTGAGTCCCATCCTAATGTGTGGCAGAAGCTTTCAAGCTGTATGTTTTTCTGAGCCATTGATGATCCTTCTGTTTAAGAGCAGCTGTCTCTTTAGTCTAGATGGGTGCTAGAGCACAGGGCTCGAGACTGGCTCTGCCAAGACCAGAGCTGGGGGCGAGGGCTCCTGGGGCTTGGTTGGCATTGGTAGCAGAAGAATTTGGGGGCTGAGCTCTTATCTCTAGCAAGCCATGCTCAGATCCTCGCTCAGTCCCTTGAGAAACTAATTCAGTGGGTCTCATCTTAGTCCCCCATTTAGTGTCATGATGGTTTTCAGTCTCTGAGAGCACCAGGGCTAGAGTGATGGGGGTGCACCATGTGAGAGTGCGATGACAGGTGGGGGTTCAGGTTGGAATAACTGGAAATCCTGTGGATTAGGTGTGACAAAGTGGGGGATTTTCTTGATATATATATATTTTTTTTTTCAATGGTTTGCATGCCGAGGGGGTGGGACGCAGTTTCTCTGGGTGTTACTGGTTTAACGAGGTGATGGCAGAGGGAGTTTGTTGTTACAGAGGGCCAGCAACGGAACTTGGGACCCCAGCCAAAGCCCGGGAGAATGGATACCCCACCAATGGTGACCGGGAGGCCCAGCTCAGGAGTCTCAGCCGGTTCTGGCCGGTGGGAAGACAATGGGCCACGGATAGAGTGGACCCTGGTGACCTGACCAGCCGGTTCCAGCCAGTGGGGAACAAAGGATGCATGAGAGAAGAGGAGGCCCAGGTAACCCTGTTTACCTGGATAGAAGACAAAGGACAGAGGCAGGGCTTAAGGGCAGGTGATATCGGATGCCCAAGTGGAAAGCAGGGGGCTTGGGACTGGGGAGAGCAGGCAGAGCCCACCTGGATGCAGGGGAGACTTAGATGTACTGTGCTGAGGGAGGCCAGGCCTGAGAGTTTCCTATGCTGTGTTCAGACGCTCAAAAAACCCTCCTGTTTTACGCTGGCTGAGAGTCACTCTGGTCTAGAGAACAGGGTTGTATTATTCCCTCTGGTTGTGGAGGCCCCGGGGGTCCAGAGCGAGTGGACTTCCTGAGAGGGCTAACGGCGAGAGACAGGCATGCTAAGGCTCAGAGAGGTGCGGTTCCAGGAGGCAGAGGGGCTTGACCCCTGAGAGTGAACCCCTGAGAAGGGCTGTCACACTGAAGGGGGTTCCCCCCAGGGACCGTATGAGCCAAGAGTGGGCACGTCCTGAGAGTCCATGACAACATGGCAGCAGAGGACGGTTTGTGGATGCACCCTGTAGACAGTTGGCTGCGAGTGCAGCCCTTTGCAGTGAGTGGCTGCCAGCGATAAAACAAAGGAATTGAAGGAACCAGTGTGGAAATAGCCTATAACAAGCTCCGTAAGAGGGACCTGGCACATCTGTGCAGGGAGAGAGGGCTGAGCGTGGGGAGGCTCACTAAGGAGCAGCTGATGGCTTAGCTTGTAGAGAATGACCAGTCTGAGGAACAGGCTCCAGATCCCAGGGGGGCTCCCGGGATGCTCGGAGAGCTGGGGAGTAGCCGTGGGGGCAGTCACTGTAGCGGCTGGGAGTCCAACTCCCCAGTCAGGTTTCTCCCTGGCGTTGCTGCGGAGGCTGGAGCTGAAAGCGAAGGAGCTGGAGCTGAAGGAGCAGAGGCTGGCGGACCGTGCAGAACAGCAAAAGCACGAGTTGGAGTTAGAGGGCCGGTAAATGGGGAAGGGCCCCAAGACGCCAGTTCTGTGGGGAATCTGGACACCAAACTACTGCCCCAGTTTAAAGGGGGGGGATATTGAGGCCTACCTCACAGCCTTTGAGAAGGCCTGTGATCTGCACCAGATTGACCCCGCAGACAGGCTCTGCTGTCTAACCCCCCTGCTGGGTCCGAAGGCCATAGAGGCATTCAGCCAAATGGATGGTATTGAGATGGGGCACTATGACCTATTCAAACAGGCTTTGCTGCTGCAGCTTCAACTGACCCTTGAGGCGTACAGGAAACTATTCCAGAGTGTACACAAGACCTCAGGCGTCACCTACAAGGAGGTTGCCAGCCTGCTGTGGGAATATCTCTGCAAGTGGGGGAAGGGCACGGGGACCACTACCGCAGAGGCTGTGTATAACCTGGTGGGATTGGAGCAGCTGTATGACATCTGCCCTCCAGACCTTAAGATATGGTTAGTTAGGGTTACCATCTGTCCGTATTTCCCCGGACATGTCCGGCTTTTGCGTCTCTAAATAGCTGTCCGGGAGGAATTGGTAACAAGGTTAAAAGGTCTGGGATTTTTCCCCTCCCTTCCCCTCCCTCCCTCCCTCCCAAGCAGAGTGCGGCTGCTAATTGGGCGGCTGGGCCTGATTGAGCCGCTCCCATTGGCCTCCAGCAGCCAGAGCCCCTCCCCTGCTCTCCCCCTGCTGCCTGCAGCGTGTTTTGCCTACATGTGGACATGAGCATGGTAAGGGGAGTCTTGGGGGCAGTCAGGGAGCAGGGGGAGGGTTGGATGGGTCCCCGGCCTCCACCTAGAACCACCACCCCCCGTGGGTCCCCCTCCTCCCTGCCTGCCTCTTCCTTGCCCGCTTGTACTGCCAGAGCCAGCAGCAACTGCTGTCTGCTGCCCCCGGGTCCTAGTGCCCCCCCATCCACTAATGGCAAGACAGGCTGCCCTTACCCTGCCCTTCCACCCTAGCCCCAAGCCTCTCCAATGCCCCAAACCCGTCAGCCCCAGCCCTTATCCCCCTGCACCCTAATCCTCTGCCCCAGCCCTGAGCCCCCTCCTGCATCATGAACCCCTCATCCTCAGCCCCAACCCTCATCCCCCACACCCTAATCCTCTGCCCCAGCCCTGAGCCCCCTCCTGCATCATGAACCCCTCACCCTCAGCCCCACAGCCCTCACCCTTGCACCCTCTCCTATCCCCAAACTCCCTCCCAAACCCCCTCCCCTTCCCACACACCCCCTCCTGCCCTCAAACTCCCTCCCAAAGCCTACATCCCCTCTCTTTGCACCGCCTCCCACCCCAAACTCCATCCCAGAGTCTGCACCCCTCACCCCCTCCTGCACACCCACCCCGTGCCCCAGCCCGGAGCCTGCACCCAGCACCCAAACTCTATCCCAGAGCCTGCACCCTAATCCCCAGCCCAGGACCTGCACCCCAGACCTCCTCCCCCCACCCAACCCCCCTCCCAGAGCCTTAGGCAGGTGGGGGGGTGGGTTCTGGGCTCCACCAAAATTTCTACAACCCTGCCACCCATGTGAGTGGATAAGGGTCGGGGCAGTCAGGGGACAGGTAGGGTCCTAGGGGGGCAGTTAGGGTGGGGGGTTCTCAGCGGGGGCAGTCAGGGGACAAGAAGCAGGGGGGTTTGGGAGTTCTGAGGGGGGCAGTCAGGGGGTGGGAAGTGGGAGGGAGTGGATGGGGGCGGGGCAGTAGCGTGGCTAGGGTGGGGCTACCCCCCCCCCCCCCCCCCTCTTTTTTGTTTGTGGAAATATGGTAACCCTATGGTTAGTGGACCGGAAGCCTAAAGATCTGCGCAGTGCGGGGGCACTGGTGGATGAGTTTGTGGACAGCAGATCAGGGGGAGGAGGGAGACCCACATCGGGGACTCAGAAGGGGAGTCACCCAGAGACCACTCAAAGGCAGGGCTCCAGTTCCAGAGCGCCTGTACTCAATCCGCTGGGTGAGTGTGGGACAGGCCCCAGGAGACAATCGGTACAAGGAGCATCCAGTGGTTCTGGGACACGGGCGCAGAGGTGACACTGGCGTGGCCTGAGATGGTGACCCAGACCAGCTAGTGCCCAATGCATACATGACCCTGAGGGGAGTGTTTGGGCCCCCTGTCAAGGTGCCTGTAGCAAGGATACACCTGAAATGAGGGGGCTAAGGAGGGACCCAAAGAGGTTGGGGTGCTCGATCACCTGCCTACCGAGGTGCTAATGGGTAATTATTTGGAGGACTGGCCGGATGGCACTCGTAGCACCCTGGTCCTTACCTGGAGCCAGAGCCAGCGAGGGATGCGGGACCTCCCGAAGGAGGGGACTGAAGCACCAAGGGTAGGGCTTGACAGGGCTGGGCCAGAGCCTCTGTCCCAAGATGGGGAAACTGAGGCACCCCCAACCAGGCTGTACTCTCAAACCCAGAAGCTGAATTCCAGACAGAGCTGCAGGAGGATCCTTCCTTAGAGAAGCTGAGGGCCCTTGCTGGCCACAGTGGTGCAGGATCCCAGGGGGAGGACCACTGGGAGAGATTCCTATGGGAGAAGGGATTTCTGTACCGAGAATGGGCTGGTTCGGGGTAAACTGAACCTTGGAAAGCCAGGAGGCAGTTGGTG